TAAAAATTGAGTTATATATGTTGTTATTATTGATTTCAAGAGTTTTTAAAAAATATATTCTGGATTCAGTCCCCTTATTAGATATATGACTTGCATTTGTTTCAATCATTGGGTTGTATTTGCACATTCTTGATGATGTCATTTACAATACAAACATCTTAATATTGATGTTGTGCAATTTATATTTTTCTTCTATTACTTGTGATTTTGGTAAAACATGTAAGAAATCATTACCTAACTTCAGATCATAAAGATTTTCTGCAATGTTTTGATCTAAGGATTTCATAATTTTAGTGCTTACATTTGAGTCTGTGGTCCATTTTTTATTTGTATGTATCTCATAAATACAACATAAGGAACATGGTAATTCTTCCCACCACACTTGCCCTACCACTCACTCTCCTACCCCTCTTTGAGGTGGTATATAATTGAGGTTAGGATGAAATTCATTCACTTGCATGAGGATATCCAGTTGTCCCAGCTTCCTTTGTTGAATAATTCTTCTTTATCCATTGAATTGTCTTGCCACTCATGCTGACAATCAACTGACCATAAATATAAGGGCTTATTTCTGTATTCTTAGTTCAATTTCATTGATTATATGTCTATCCTCACACCAGCACCACACTGTCTTGATTGTGCTTTAAGTTGGGAGCAAGTTTTAAATTCTGGAGAAATATGATTTTTTCCCCCTAGATTGATTTGGTTATTTTGGGTCCCTTGAACTTCCAAATACATTTAAATATTTGATTTTTTATTTTGGCAATAAAAGGAATTTGGGATTTTGACAGGGATTGTGTAACATCTGTAGGTCATTTTGGGAGTATTCTCACCTTAACAATATTAAGCCTCTCAATCCATGAATATGGGATAACTTCCCATTAATTTAGATACCTTCGATTTCTTTTAACAACATTTTGTTGTTTTCAGTGAATTGTCAAACTTACTCTAAATTTATTATTTTTCATGTTATAAATGGAATCATTCTCTTAATTTTATTTTTGGGATGTTTATTTCCATTGTATAGAAATAAAATTTATTTTTACAAGTTGATCCTTTATTACATATTCTTGTTAAACGTGTTTATTCTTTCTTTTTTTTAAAGATTTATTTATTCAAAAGGCAGCACAATAAGAGAGAGACAGAGAGACAGAAATCTTCCATCCTCTGGTTCACTCCCCAGATGGCTACAGTGGCAGGGCTGGGCCAGGCTGAAGCCAGGAGCCAGGAGCTTCTGGGTCTCTCATGTAGGTGACAAGGGCTTCCACTGCTTCCACTGCCTTCCCACTGCTTTCCCTCAGCCATTATCAGGGAGCTGGATTGGAAGTGGAGCAGTCAGGACATGAACTGGCACTCACTGGTGATGCTGGCATGCAGGCAGAGGCTTAACCCACTACGCCACAATGTCAGCCCCTTTGTTCATTAATTCTAAGATTTTTAGTGGGTTCCTTAGGATTTTCTGTGTATAAGATGATGTGATCTGAAATATATGTATACATATATATATACATATATATATAGTTTGATTTTTTCCTGTCCATTGTGCATGCCTGTCTCTCTCTTTTTTCATCTTCTTGCTCTGCCTGAAACCTTCGAGTTCTCATTACAATATTTAATAGAAGTGGCAAAAATGGAATTGTCTTTTTTTTTTAGGAAAAATTCCCATTTGCTGGTTTACTCCTCAAATGCCTGCAACAGTGGGGCTAGCCTGGGACTGAGGCCAGTAGCCAGGAATGCAATCCAGGTATCTCATATAAGAGGTAGGACTCCAACAACTTGATCCATCACTGCCGCTCCCAGGGTCTGCATTATTAGGAAGCTGGAGCCAGGAACCAGATCTGGAATTCAAACCCAGGTTCTCTGATTTGAGATGTGGATGTCTTAATGGGGAGGCCAAGTGTCCTGTAAAGTTGATGGTGATGTCTTCTCTTTCACTCCTGATTTTTGTAATTTGAGTATTCTTCTTTCTTGGTCACTTTAATAAAATATTTGCTAATTTTTTTTTGACAGGAAGAGTTAGTGAGAGAGAGACAGAGAGAAAGGTCTTCCTTTTCCGTTGGTTCACCCTGCAAATGGTCGCTATAGAGCCAGGTGCTTCCTCCTGGTCTCCCATGCGGGTGCAGGGCCCAAGCACTTGGGCCATCCTCCACTGCACTCCCGGGTCACAGCAGAGAGCTGGCCTGGAAGAGGAGCAACAGGGACAGAATCTGGTGCCCCAACCGGGACTAGAACCCGGGTGCCAGCACTGCAGGTGGAGGATTAGCCTCGTGAGCCATGGCACTGGCCAAGATTTTCTAATTTTATTGATTTTTTCAGAGTACCAGATTTTGATTTTTCTCTGTAGTTTTTCTGTGTGTATTTCACTTTTGTCTGCTCCAGCCTTTATTAGTTCCTCCTTTTTGTTTGCTTTGTGTCTAATTTGCCCTTTTTTCCCCCTAGAGTCTTAGGTAGAAAGTTAAACTATAGACTTCTTTCTAATTTTTAAAAGTTCGTTTTTTTGGGGGTCGGCACCATGGCTCACTTGGCTAATCCTCCACCTGCGGTGCCGGCATCCCTTATGGGCATTGGGTTCTAGTCCCGGTTGCTCTTCTTCCAGTCCAGCCCTCTGCTGTGGCCTGGGAGTGCAGTGGAGGATGGCCCAAGTGCTTGGGCTCCTGCTCCCACATGGGAGACCAGGAAGAAACACCTGGCTCCTGGCTTCGGATGGGCAGAGTGCCAGCCATAGCGGCCATTTGGGGAGTGAACCAACAGAAGGAAGACCTTTCTCTCTGTCTCTCTCTCTCACTGTCCACTCTGCCTGTCAAAAAAAAAAAGTTTTTTTTATAGCAATAGATTTTCCTCTGAGTGAAGCCTAAGCTGCTTCCATAAGGTTTGGTATGCTGTGTATTTGTTTTTATTCATCTTGAAGTATTTTCTAAGTTTACTTGTGAGTTCTTCTTTACCTATTTGTTATTTAGTGGTATGTTGTGTAAGTTTTATGTATGTATGATATTCTCAATTGTTTTCTGCTATTTATTTGTAATTTAATTTCTTTGTGGTCAGGGAACATAATTCACTTTGTATAATTCCAATCCTTTTAAATTTACTGGGGTTTATTTTATGTATAATGTAAAGTCTATCCTAAAGGACATTTCATATGTGCTTAAGAAATATTCTGCGACCCTATGTGGAGTGTTTTATAGACGTCTTTTAGGTCTAGTTGGTCATGATGTTGTCCAAGTCTTCTCTTTTCTTTATGGCCTCTGGCTAGTTGTTCTACTCATTATTGAGGGTCAAGAGTATTGAAGTCTTCAACTACTGTTGATGAGTCATCTATTTCTTTTAATTCAGTCAGTTTTTGCTTTATGTATTTTGAGTCTCTGTTATTAGATGCATATATATTTATACTGGTTGCATCTTCCAGGTGAAAGGACTCTTTTACCATAAAATGTCCTTCTTTATCCCAGAAACACAGAACTCTTCCCTGTAAGTGAGCATAGGCTGGGGCTAATGGGCCCTTGGCACTCTTAGTCTGCTGCATCTGGGACTTCTGTCCCGAGGGGAGCTGCATGGGAAAGGGATGTGGATCCTGTCTGCGGCATGAATGTTATTAGAACGTTTGCAGCCGGAACTGATAAAGGCCAGCTGTCGGACCTTGCCAGAGTGAAGCCATCGCCTCAGACCAGGAGCTGGGGGGAGAGGAAACCCTCTTCTTGGCCACGCTGGCTTGAGGTAGAGCTTCTATAGTTTAGAGCTGGATGCAGTGTGCTATAGTTCAACTGCCATGGACTCTTGCTTTCTTAAGGAGATTTAGTATATTTGATTGAAAGGATGTTTATCCTTTTACCTTAGAGTAGTTTCCAGAGACTTTGAGTCACTTGTAAAAAATGATTTTCACTAAATTGTTTGTTGGAGAGTCTGCCATGTTCCTCACTCTTCCTTTAGGGAAGTCCTGCCCTTCCATGATGACATTTTTAAGAGTTTATTTGAAAGAGAGAGAGAGAGAGAGAAAGAAAGAGAGAGAGAGAATCTTCCATCTGGTGGTTCACTCTCCAAATGCTTGCAACAGCTGGGGCTGAAGCCAAGAGCTAGGAACTCTGTCCGGGTCTCTCATGAGGGTGGCAGGAACCAAGTAGTCAAGCATCATCTGCCTCAGGATTCACATTAACGGGAAGTTGGATGACAAGCAGAGGAAAGACTTGGTTCCGCACACTCTGATGTGGGTTGTGGGCATTCCAAGTAGTGAGTTATGTCTCCCACACCACAATATCCCACCCCTTTACAAATTCTAACAAGAGTAAGCAGGACGAGGTCAACATATTTAGGTTGAACAACCACCTAGAAATTCCCTACAATTAAGGCTGCTGTGACCAGAAACAAGGAAAAACAAGACATAATCCTTGGCAGCACCAAATTATAGAGAAGTAAGCGTTGACTGCTGAGTGGCCACATATTTGCCTTTCAGTTCTCTGAGAGATCAATCTCATTACTCAGCAACTCAGAATTATGGCAGCAATAAAAGTGCAATTGCATCTGTGTGAAGGCCTAGCCCAGCTCAGTGCATCCGATTGCTCATAAGCTCTGTGGGCAAATGCCAAGGCAGGAGGCTGATTAGCAAGAAGACATAGATTTTTCAAAGAAGAATTCTGATTATATAGTTTAAAGGGAAAATGGAACCTGATAGAAATGAAGAAGCATTATTCTCAAACTGGGTGACAGCTGTCAGAAGAGGACTTTGCTGGTGGTAGTGGGTGGACATAGGTTAGGGAGGTCTCAGACATGGAGCTTAGATGTTATTGGGCAAGGATATTTGCCTGGTGGTGCACTTAGCAGGTGTCCACTGGTATCTTACAAGTCAGGCAAGGATATGCCAGGTGAGGAAGGTGAGTGATGTAGTCTTGGCAGGTGGCCAGCTCTAGGGAAGTCCAGCTGTCCCCACCCCTGCAGGCCCTGGGGGAAACAGTACCGAGCCATGAGACAAATCCCAGCACCCTTGGGCAACAATTCAGAATGGGACTTACCTCTCCGCCTGGCAAGGATGAATCATGAACAGTAGGCTTGTGGTGTCTTCAATTCTCCTAGGTATTGGGTGATTGAATCCTAAGCTTGAGTGGGAGTTGATTGGCTGAGCCCTAGATGCTGAAGACCCTTGTGGGCAGAGAATTAGGTAGGAGAAAACAGCTCTCCTTACTGGGAAACTCAGGTAATAATAATCATCGTGGTGGTAATAGCAGTAATGACCACTGCAGCCAACAGTTACCTAGCTGTTATAATGTTCCAGACTCTGTTTGAGTGTACATTTAATCTTTTCAAAACCCATATGAGGCAAATATAGCTCTAATTCCATGTTAGAGATGAGAAATTTAGAGAAAAAGACCACTTAAGCAACTGGGTATATGTGGCACAGCCAGCACGTAGGGGAGCCAGTCTTTGGTCTCAGGTGGTCTGGCTCTAGCATGCATGCCTTACCCACTGTACTCTGCCATCTTAGAGGATCTGCTAACTGACTGCCTCCTGTGTAGAGGCGAAGACTATCAGATGGTAGGGAAGGAACACATGTAAGCCAGAAACAATGGTCTAGTGCTTGCTACTGCTGGCAGTGGCCACAACCTCCAGGCTGCTCTCAGATACAATCTTTTCCACCTGCTTCTTATAATCAATGAAAGTGAGCTGGACGGGCTGGCACTGTGGTGCAGTGGGGTAAAGCCCTGGCCTGGAGCACTGGCATCCCATATGGGTGCCAGTTCAAGTCCTGGCTGCTCTGCTTCTGATCCAGCTCTCTGCTATGGCCTGGGAAGGCAGTAGGAGATGGCCCAAGTCCTTGGGCCCCTGCACCCATGTGGGAGACCTAGCAGAAGCTCCTGGCTCCTGATTTCGCATCAGCTCAGCTCTGGCCATTGTGGCAATTTGGGGATAAACCAGTGGATTGAGCACCTCTCTCTGTAACTCTATCTTTCAAATAAATAAAAATAAATCTTTTTTTTTAAAAAAAGAAAGCGAGCTGGAGATATTGGCTTTACCTCTATAGCAATGGTTTACTGCTTAAGCTGGAAAGGGGCAAAGGTATTTACTACATTATTCTTTATACCTTTTTGCATACCTTGAGTGTTTAATAATAAAAAATATTAAAAATATCTCCTGGTATTTAAAAATAAAATGAGTGTGTGTATGGGCAGGGCAAGGAGAGTGGTCATCGGAACAGGTACCCCAGAAATGGCTTTCCCACAAGCTTTGTGGACCTGACAGTGTGGCTGTTGGACCATGCCAGCTCTCTAGACGTTGCCTGGAAACATCTGGGAAGAAAGAAAATGTCTCAGGCAGGGAAATTTCTCCCTTGGGAAAAGGAGACCGAGAAGGCAGAAGTGAAAAAGTGGGAGGAAATCTAGCCAGAGTGCTACAAAGGCCACGGAGAGAGGAGGGGAGGGGTGTACGGCGAACCCAGGGAACCTGGTGCAAGGCTTCAACTGAGAAGCCTGGCAAGCCGAGAAGGGCCACTGTGCCGAGGCAGTCTGTGCTGGACTTCCCGACAGCAGCTTCAGAAGCCGTAAGACGTCCAGCTCCACTCCACAGACAAAGAATTGACACATTTGGCCGGCTGGGTTAGTAATGGGTGGATACCAAGGGAACACTGGGGTCAAGGATAGGAGAGGAGCTACAACATACTAAGAGCAAAGTTTGACTTAGCTGCTTGGAATTCCAGGGAAAAAGTGAACTAGGAAGTTTACAAAGCTCTGATTGCTGGAATAGAGGCTACAGGCCAGTTCCTCAAGAGAAGTGTTTCTCACCTCCTGCCAGAGTTGGGACCTTGGGATGCTTGCAAGTAGATTAGGTTAGTTTTAATTGGCAAAAAAACTCAATAAAAAACCAAAACACTAAGGGGTGTGGGACTAAAATTTCACAGTGAATATTTGCTAGACTCTACCTTGAAACATGAACACAAAGGCTATTAAAATAAGTTTGTTTTGCACTTGAACTTGACGTTGCCTATGTAACTGTCTGCCCACTCTGAATGAACAGAGTGAGTCAAGGGCTGACTTTTTGGGTGGCATTTTCTCAACACGAGTGCACGATGCAATGAAATAACACTCTCAGACTCATGTTTGACTCTGGCAGCGTGATCATCAAAAGGGTTAGTTATCCCCCCCACCCCCCAAAAAAACTCTTTAAGCACTTTACCAGTTTTCTCAAGTGCCTTCTTGTTCCTTCAATATTCCTACTGTTCGCTCTCAAAGCCTTTCTGGTGTTTGATTTCTCTTAGTGCATCATTAACTACGCTCACGGTCCCTAACAGATATTTGTCAAAGCCTTTACACACCTCCCTTCCATAGACTCCGGGAAATCCTCCCCCACTATTTGCGACATTGACAATTACATTTTGCAATCCATTTGCACTGTATGTTTGACGTGTATCAATTATCTGTCAACCCCTGAGAGACGGAGTAGCAGACACTGATGAGACGGGAAGAGTGAGCACCTGATGTGAATGGTGAGGGGAGTGTGCAGGAGCACACCACGTCCTGGGCACTCTAGGGTTTGTGGGAGTTCAGACCACGAAGGCTCCAACAACAGCACAACTGGGCACGAAACCCTCAAAGTCCTTTTCTCAGCCCTTCCTTATAAAGAGGACCACAAAATTAAAGCAGCAGCAAGTGACGTGTTTCACAGCAGGCGTGCAGCCAGTTGGTGGCTCCTTTTACATGGCTGTTGCTCGGAACCACCGCTGATACAACCTGGGACGGACCATCCAGGGGAGGTGACCGTGCGCGGGGCTGACCTTGCCAGGGCCCCTGCGAGTAGCCTGCCTTTGTTACTTACCAGCTGCTGCGTAACAAATGACTCCCAGCGTATCTGCTTAAAACAACAACCATTTCTTATCTCCTGGTGGGTGCCTGGTGGGTCAAAAATCCAGGAGCAGCTCAGCTTGGGTCAGCCAGGGCTGTAGGCAACTGAAGAGCGCCTGAATCTGGAGGAATTAGGGTTTCCGGGCTCACTTATGTGCATGTGAGCAGGGAGCTTGCCAGGTGCACCCGACTGCTGAGCTTCTGATGACCCGATTTCTTCCAGAGAGAGAGAAAAGGAGAGAGAGAGGGAGAGAGAGAGAACAAAGCAGAAGTGGCGGTGTCTTCCATAACCTGTTCTAAGTCACCATGGGATAATGTGGGAGGTGACTACATGAGGTGGCAGTCATCTTAGGGGTACACTGTTGGAGACAGGCTACCACACCAGCCCTGTAAGAAGACATTAGGGCAGAGGAGTGCAGAGGAAGGGGCTGGGGAGGACACAGGGGAAGGGGCCATCTACAAGCCTCCCAAGAACCTCCTTCGCCGACGCCTTCATTTCAGACTTCTGACCAGCTGAAAATAAATTTCTATTGTGAAGTCACCCATTCCATGGCGCTGTGATGTGGCAGCTCAGAAAGCAGATACATGGGAGACAAGTCTGTGTCCTCCCTGCAATGTGGGCTTGAACGCTTGCAATGACACATCCTCCGGCTGTGGCTCTTGTGTGAGTTGGCTGCCCATGGCACGTGCCACATATATGGTCACCACTAACCCAGGGGGCCTTTTGTGTCAATTAAGGAAAGATGCACAGGCAGTCTTGCTCTGGGCTTTTTGGCATGGTGAGGGGAGCACAGGTTTCATTCCTCACCCCTGTCCCTTAGACTGAGTGCACTTGTGCCGGGCCCAAGTTGTATGTCTTTCCGTGGTGACTCTGCCAGTCTACGGAGCTCTGGACCTCCGGGAAGCAGGGCGGGAGCCCGCTGTCACTGGCAAAGCATCCTGCTGCTTTTCTCAAGGAGACAGATGACATCCCTTTCTCCTCATTGCCCTTTCGTGGAGCAAACTCAGTGGAAAACTTCTGCAAATGATGCATTAAACTTCAAAATTTACAACGTACTTTGCAAGCCCACTGTACCTCAATAACATAACACAGCAAAAGGTTGGGGAGAGCTCCTCTTAAGCATTTTATGAATTCATGGCTCCGTACTTGCAGTCTCATTCTCATTCCCAACCACAGATACTTACAAACTCCAAAATTTACATATTCATATGTAGAGAAATGCCATCTAGCTCTCTATATAAATACATTTTAATGGCACTTTGAGGAAATTTGTAGACCTGGCTACCGTGTCATCGGCAATGAATGTTTGGTTCAATGAAACTGGCTCTTCTTTGACAGCTTCTCCTCCTGAGCCAAAGGCCCAGGAGATGCTGTAATTCTCTTCCCATTTCGTGGCACCCTCAGGGCAGCTGCAGGGCCTTGGAGAAACTCGGGTTGGAGAATCAAGCAGACTGGCGGCTGGTGCAAAGCGCTAGGACCCGTCTGTTGCAAAGGGAGAGCCTGGTGATTTCTGGCTGCCGATGTTGGCAGCTCTGCTGTTGGGGCTTCCCCCAGAACCACTAGGGACCATCTCGCATGTGGGATCTGGTACAGGATGTGGGAGTCACAAGTAGTGCCTTAACCGCTACACCAAATACCAGCTCCTGTTCATGGGCAGTTTTGAGGCCTGGGTTTTATAGCCTTTCCCGGAGTTTTCCCACGGGATTATGCTGTCGTCCCTCATGGTGGGAACTGGCTCCATCACACACACAGTGGCTGCCCTCCTGTCCCAGGATCAGCCCCACTTGCCTCCTGGTGTCTCTGGCACTTTCCAAAGCCGTTTTTAAAAAAGATTTATTTACTTATTTGAAAGTCAGAATTACACAGAGACAGGAGAAGCAGAGAGAGAGAGAGAGAGAGAGAGAGAGAGAGAGAGATCCACTGGTTCACTCCCCAAATGGCCGCAGCAGCCAGAGCTGCGCGGATCCAAAGCCAGGAGCCAGGAGCTTCTTCTGGGTCTACCACATGGGTTCAGAGGCCCAAGGACTTGGGTCATCTTCTACTGCTTTCCCAGGCCACAGCAGAGAGTTGGATCGGAAGAGGAGCTGCTGGGTCTCAAACTGGTGCCCATATGGGTTGCCAGCACTTCAGGCCAGGGTGTTAACCCACTGCACCACAGTGCCGGCCCCTGCAAATCCATTATTAGCACTTGGATTCTGTCCCAGGACCTGCCCCTGGGGGGTACCAAACCCCCTCCTTACTGCAAAAGACCCTGATTCAGATTTGTATAGAGTCAGCCGACGCTCTGCCCCGGGTGAGCTTGGCCAGAGTGGTTTGCTGCTAGAGAGCACATTTCAGGCTCACATCCTGAACCACATGTGGTGTGTTTTATAGCCCTGTGGGGTGGATAGAATCATCCAGCAAGAAATCCCATGGACACATGTGGACATTCAAGAGTCAAGTTAAGGAAATGGTGGGATGGGAAGGGAATTCGCCTCTGTTACCTACCTATTGCATTTAAGTGCTCCATGCACTTAGGAACAACCCCCCCCCCCCATTCCTTAAAATATCAAGCAAACAAGGTTTTACTTTATGAAATGCCTGTATAATTTCAATGTGAAAATTTTTTCACGTGCATTTGTTAGTAAAGTCTCACAATCCGTGAGATGGGCCATGAAGAGAGAAGGGAAGGCTGTGGGCCAATCTTGCAAAGAGAGTTAACCGGGCAGATTCTGGGTTCCCACTGTGCACCCTTTGCAGAAATGAATAATTGCAACAGGGCTCCATCTTGAAGATGAGCTAACAGAAAAGTTGGCAGAAAAGATAAACGACTCCCTCACACTTCTCACCTCATTTCCACCCTACAGAGTCACACAACAGAAGGAGGTAGGGATAGGGCCACATGCTATGCAATGACACCTTGGTCTGGGGCGGGCTCTGTCGATGGTGGTGGGTCTGGGGGAGGAAGGAAGCCACAACAGGAAGGCACAGCTCCAGAGGAAAGGAAATTGTAGGAGAAGGGAAAGAAGAAGAGCCCTCGGGAACATTGGCCGCAATGAACTTGTGGAAGTCAGACTTTTATGGCTATTTGTGCTGCAATCCTTGGAGTGACTCATATCACTGGTGGGACCTAGAGGGCCCCGTCTGCATCTCTCTACTTCAGGTTGGCAGCTGTCCATCCAAAGTCCCCAGTGTAACCTGCACTCGCTCTGTGAGACCTAGGTAAGGACCCCATTGCATCCTGCAGCTCTGGGTCTGTGACTGTTCTGTAAGTCTTTGGGTCACCTGTGCTCTCCCATGGGGCCTGAGGAGGGCCCTGTATTCATCAGACTGATCCAAGCTTGCAAATGATGGTGCACAATCCCCTGCATAACCTGTGGTCAATCAGTGGGACACAGGTAAGCTACCCTCCAAATCCTGCGGCTCTAGGACTGGGACTGTTGAAGCTGTATTCCATTGCGAGGCCTGAGTGCACTGTGTGGGGCCTGGGGGAGAGCCTCAGCTGCCTCCACACTCCAGATCCATGCCTCCTGCTGCACAGCACCCAACACAATCTGAGAGTGAAGTGTGAGACCTGGGAAGGCTCTCCTCTGCATCACGAAGCTCTAGGACTGGGACGGTTGGATCTACAGGTCCTGGGAACACCTGCACGTTCCCTGTGGGACCTGAGAAGGCTCTGTCTCTAGTCCACACAGCTGCAGGCCCACACCTGCCAGTGCACGATCTCCAGCATAACCTAGGCTTTTCCCATGGCACCTAGACGGGCACTCCTGCTGCCCTGCTGTTCTGCAACAATGACGTTGCTCAGAGTCCTCGGAGCCCAGCCTGCGGGACCTGGGGAAGCCTTCACCTGCATTTTGCTGCTCCAGCCCCACACAAGCCAGTAAATAATCCCCAGGGTACCCTGCATTCACTCAATGGGGCCTGAGCAAGTTCCTCTTCTCATCCTCCAGGGCTGGGTCTGGGACCTTTGGTGCTATAAGCCCCAGCATCACCCACACTCCTCCAGCAGGACCTAGAGGAGGTCCCATTTAATCACATGGTTCCAAGGTTATATCTCTTGGTGCCACAAGCATAAATATCATTCAGTCTTGCTAATGGGGATGGGACTAACCCCCTCCGTGTCCCACAGCACCAGGAACATGGCTACTGCTACACCAACCCTAGTGTGATTCACATACAACTCTGTGGGGCCCAAAGACACACACCTTTGGAAGCCCACGTCCACTTCCAAGTCATACTATTGCCTCCATGAACTGCTGCAGACTAGATAACTGGAACTCACAGAAACCGCTGACTGATTACAGCTGAAGAAATCAATCACTCACAGTTTATACTCCTGGGCTCACCTAGAACCAAAGCCAAAGCAACTACCCGACTGACTCCCCATATTCCATATACAAAAAGGCTTTTCCCGTGAGAGTTACTCCATAAAGAAGAAGGAACTGTTACACCAGATGCAAAGACATCGTTGTAACAAGAAGCACAAAGAAGCAAGGAAACACAACACCTCCAAAAGTGCAAAAATAGTTCTCCAGAGATATATCTTGATTTGAGGAAAATCTATAAAATACCTGAGAAAGAATTAAAAAAATTATCCTAAGGAAATTCAATGAGATGCAGGAGACTACAGATAGACAATCCATGGTATGAATAAGTAATTCAAGAAAGAGAAATCATTAAAAATAATTGATCAGAAATTTTGGAGCTGAAAACTTCAATCAATGAAATAAAAAAATACCATTGAAAGCTTCAGTAACAAAATAGACCAAGTGGAAGAAAGAATTTTTGATATTTAGGAGAAGACTTTTAAAACATCCCAGCCAGATGAAAGTAAAGAGAACAGAATTAGCATGTGTCACACGTGACACATGGAGAGCACTAAGCAAACATTCATGTTATTGGTATACATGAAGGAGAAGAAAAGGAAAAAGGCGTCAAGAACATATTTATGAAGTACTAGTTGAAAGCTTCCTAAGCATTGAAAGAACTATGGACATGAAGATACAGGGAGCTGAAACCAACCCAACCACACTCAACCGAAAAAGAACTTCTCCATGACATATTATAACCAAATTGTCAGAAGTTAAAGGCAAAGAGAGAATCCTAAAGACAGAAAAAAGAATCAAGCTATGTATAAAGGGAAATCCATTCGATGAATGGAAGACTTCTCAGAAGAAACTCTACAGATCAGAAAGGAATGGAAAGGACTCTAATATAATAATAACGGAAGACTTTAATACTCCCTACTATCCATGGAAAGATCACCTAGAAAAAGTTAACAAAGATACATCAGATTTGAACCATACTATAGACCTAACAGACAGTTACAGGACATTTCATCCAACAGCTGCAGAATCTACATTCTTCTCATTCGCACCTGGGATAGATTATATGTTTGAAAACAAATTAAGTCTCAGTAAATAAAAAAAGAAAAACAGAAATATACCCTGTATCTTCTCAGTAAAAGGAACAAAACTAGAAATTGACAACAATAGAAA